GATCGTCGACGATATTGTTAATATAATGTAGCGCTCAATATTATTAATATTGACGAGGATCTTGAGCTCAAATCTGTCATAAAATTTGGACAGATAATTGATTGGCCAAATAAAAAATACGCAATAAAAATTAATTTTATATGAAAAATATGAAGTTGGACGGATAGTCCCAACACCTGAAAGTATAAAGCCAGTGAAGGTATAAATATGTTCTTGTGCAAAAAAAAGGTCAAGTCGATAGACATAAAGACGACTTGTGTCACAAGAATATTTGTAAATATCCTGGCATTGATTATATAGAGACATGTTCTCCTGTGGTGGATGTCGCTATTTCAGGTTTTAATCTAGCAATACAAGAAAAACGTGATATGCGTATAATGGAAATGATTGAAGGATTTAAATTGTTCTGAAGAATATTAAGGTTTTCAAGAAATTTATTAAATAAAGCTTCAAAAATCCTTATACGGATTGAAATAATCAGGGCGCATGTGGTATAATCGCCTGAGTGAGTACCTGTTGAAAGAAGGGTACCAGAATGATTCAATTTGTCCTTGTGTTTTTGAAAAAAGATCTGGATCTAAATTTGTTATAATCACCGTGTATGTTGATGATTTAAATATCATTGGAACTCCTAGGGAGCTTCCTAAAGTAGTAGACTATTTAAAGAAAGAATTTGAAATGAAAGATCTTGGAAAGACAAAATTTTGTCTTGGTCTACAAATTGAGTATATGAAAGATGGAATTTTTGTCCATCAATCAACATACACTAAAATGATTTTAAAGCGATTTTATATGGATAAAGCACATCCATTCCGACCTCATGAAAATAATGAAGAGCTTCTTGGTCCCGACGTACCATATCTTAGTGCAATTGGTGCACTAATGTATCTTTCTAACATTACAAGGTCTGACATAACTTTTTCAGTTAATGTCTTAACAAGATATAGCTCTGCTCCTACAAAGAGACATTGGAATGGAATCAAACACATATTGTGATATCTAAAAGAGACTACCGATATGGGATTATTTTATGGCAATGATTGCAGTCCTGATCTTGTTGGTTATGCCGATGCTGGGTATTTATATGACCCATAAAAGGTTCGATCTCAAACAGCCTATGTGTTTACATATGGAGGCACTGTCATATCTTGGCGATCGACGAAGCAATCAATCGTGGCTATTTCATCTAATCATGCTGAGATAATTGCTATTCATGAAGCAAGTCGAGAATGTGTATGGTTGAGGTCTATAATACACCTTATTCGAGACATATGTGGTTTGAAGTGCGACAAACTACCCACAATTTTGTATGAAAATAATGCAGCATGCATAACCCAGTTGAAGGAAGGATTCATAAAAGGGGATAGAACAAAGCACATTTCACCAAAGTTATTTTTCACACATGATCTTCAAAAGAATGGTGATATCAATGTGCAACAGATTCGTTCAAGTGATAATATGGCTGATTTGTTCACCAAATCTCTACCGACGCCAACCTTCAAGAAACTAGTATACAAGATTGGGATGCGAAAGCTCAAGGATGTGAATTGATGCTCTCATCAGGGGGAGTTAATACGGGTTGTACTCTTTTTCCCTTACAAAGTTTTGTCCCACTGAATTTTTCTTGCAAGGTTTTTTTAACGAGGCAACCAAAAGGCGTATTTCTAAACATATGTACTCTTTTTCCTTCACTAGGATTTTTTTCCCATAGGATTTTTTCCTAATAAGGTTTTAACGAGGCACATTATCTATGGACATCCAAGGGGAAGTCTTATAAGAAACATCAAATTATGGTGGATGTCTACTCTTCCTCCATGATCTTCTCAAATGCTTAATGACATATTCAATGACATATTTTTATACTTAATGACATATTCAATGATATATTTTTCTTCACTTTTCATGCCTATATAAAGGTCATGTAATAGATAGGAAAATACACATAATTGAACAAGAAAATCTCTTTCTTCTCTCTATCTCCATTTCTTATTCATGTTTTACTAAATTGATTTTATTTCATAACAACATGTCATGTTCATGTTTTACTAAATTGCTTTTATTTTATAACATATACATATTAAAAATACCATTTATGTACAATTGAAAATTAGTCCGAATTAATCTAGTGAAAAAATGGAAAATCACGGTAATTACGGAGTAACTGATATTCTTGGTCTACCAGTTAACTAATTCCCTTTAATTTTAACAGGGAGTGACATACACAACTCACACGTGGAACTTCTCCGCGTTAGCCACATGAAAGTTTCTTGTATGATACGTGGCAGCCTCATCAATCTTACCGTCATGACTATTGAATATGTTAGCTACTCACAAATATGCAGATTGATAATAAGCTTAGCTATAGCTCCGAACTATTTAGCAAAGAATTGTACGAAGTTAAAGGGTATAATTGGGGTGTAGAAGTTAAAAGGTTGAAGGAGAGGGATGTCGGGGGCACAAGGAGCACAGCCAAAGGGATCTCTAACACCAACCACATATGAATCAGTTGATCAGAAAGAGGAGGACAAGCCCAAAACGGAACTCCATTCCCGTGAAGATGAGCGCGGAATTCAAATTGATAAAATCCAAGACAAGGTGAAAGATGCCGCCGGCTTAGGCGGTCCTGTTTTTGGTGCTGGCAAGGAAGAGAACAAACATGACTTGGGCGTTACCGGCACCGGCTAGTGATACTAATTTAGAATATATATGAAGTCTAGTTTTGTCAGTTGTATTAATACAAGTTCTTTTGGTAGTGGTCTTGCTGTCTCCTACTATGTTCATCTCTTTGGGGCTTGAAATAATCCAAAGTTGTTAAAGAATGACATGAGTATGACGCTTGCTTTAAAATGTACTTTGTGTTGAAGAATAATGTCTGATTAAGCAATGAGCCTATGCATCTTCCACGTAAATTAAGAAAGTCACCCGCTAATTTGAATTACAGCTTAATAATTACACAATATAATAATTACGATGATTTATTCGTTTGCCATAACGTAATTATAGTATAATTACAAGCGTCTTGTTTGGTTGCACAACTATAATTATATAGTTAAATTAAATTTTAAATAAAATAATTATTAAAATTTAAAAATTAATATAATAAATATATGTCTATAAATATTTTTTTATAAGTAGAAATAATATTAGATTTTGGTATTTAAGATGCATTTTTTTCTTGAATATATCAGTAACTATATATTTATAACTAATATTATAAAAATAATTAATATATATTTTTAAAATTAATAATATTTAATTTAACTAATTATATAAACTAAAAGTATACGTTTCGTAAGAACATCATGTATGTTTGATAAAGTAAATTAATATTTATAAATATAATGTCATAACATTAGTTAAATATTTGACAAAATTAATTTATTCATTCTAACTAAAAAATGAACAACATGCAATATAAAATAATAAGTCAATACTATTAAAATAAGTAAATTGGAACCATAAAAATAACACAATTTTAAAATCCAAAAAAAAAAAAAATAACACATATTTTCCAACATAATAAAAATATGTTCCAATACAATTTAAGATTAAGAAACATAATAAGTTTATAACCTCATTCAAAAATAAAATTTTACTTTAATGACATCACCTAATATATGTCAAGTTTGTTAATGACTCATTATTTCTAATATTAGAAGGTCTAGTTCCAAAAACTAGAATAATAACGCAGTTACGCAATAAGAAATAAAATATACGAGCAATTACGTGGATTCGCATGAAGTAAAAGATAAATAATGTACGAAAAAATTATATTATAATATTAAAAAATAAAAATAAAAAGGAAATTTAAATTATGGAAATAAAAAGTTATAAAAAAATAAAAATAAAAACAAAAAAGGAAAGAAATTAAAAAGTAACCTTGTAATTACATAGTGTAATTATCATTAATTCTCACCTCCTCTTGAGAATTGGAGAGTGTAATTACACCCCTCTAATTACACTCAATTTTATGTTGACCAAGTAATTACTCGGCCAGACAAACATGTCAACTGTGTAATTATATCCAATTACACCCAAATCGAATTCCGAGATGACCTTCCAAACAGGATCTAAAGGTGCATGTAATTGCGCCTTGTGGAGTAAATCGTGGGATTCCTCGATATGGCGAGACAACCGAAAAATCTACATTTAATTGAGAGTTTAGACTCAATTTAACAACACTAGCAAACAATAAAACCTTTGATTTTCTGAAGCAGAAAGGAGAATGATAACATGAACACATCAACCATAATATATAACATTGATGGAGAATAATAAGAAATTAATTATAAACAGCTGAAAACGAGAGGAACATTTCTTAGATTTTGGGTCGAAAGTAATGGCCGTTTGAGTTAGAACTTGGGCTACTGACACCTAGAGATTTTGTGTTTGAAATCTCTTGCAGCCCAATCTTATATTCCCCATCCACTTGGATGGCAATTTTTCAACTGATATATGATTCAATTGTCGTTAGTTTAATCCTAAAGAAGTTTCATATTGCAATTTAAGTTAGCGTACAAAAATTCAAGGTGTCTTTCTATATCTTAAATTTTAAATGACCGCACTTATTTTAAACATTCAAGCAAATCCCTCCTCTATTTAGTCATTTCAGTCCATTGAGATGTAGGATGATGATCGTCTATCACCGTTAGGTTGTCATATCATGCTCTTTTGTCATTGAAATATCAAATGGTATTAGGCGAGGCTGCTAAGCCTTTTGTAGAAAAAAAAAGATCATGTTTTGGTACTGCAAAATATTAACTCTCGTGATATATTCAGCTATATTGACTATTGTTTTAGGAAAACAGATTGTTAATGTGATTAAGTCTTTAAAATTGTGTCTTGTCTTGTTCTCTAGGAAAAAGGACAAAACATTGGTTTTCATATTTTTATCTTGGCTAGTCTTTATGGAGCAAAATATTTCACTTTTCGCTTCAAGGAATTCAAATAAAGTCAACTCCAGGTAACCTTTTTCCTCGTTGAAGCCAAGATAGCGGTTGTCACACCCATTTTCTATATAAATTTTACTTAAGTTACTTTCATTAATTTCATTTGCTTTTGTCAAACTGGATAACACACTTTGCCACTGGACAATGAATTAAGAAATTTCCATGCCGGACCAGTCTGTTTCTTGGATTCCTTGCTATTATTAGTGTTGCTTCGTGTATTGCACTGAAAAATAAAGCAACCTTCTTTTTTAGGAATCATTAGTTCCTGCACCAGAAAATTCTCACTCTGACCCTGAATTATAACATAACGTCAGATTCCTTTTCAATAGCCGTTGCTAATCATTATACATGCTGACACAAAATAGCAGTGAAACATATATGTACTCGAAGCCAAATGATGATTGTTATGGGAATGCACTCAATAATGCTTAAAAACTAACCTCATAATGTCAAAGTTATACCATTATCTAAACTACTAATACAAGTCTTAAAGTGAAAAAAAAATGAACTCTCAATTAAAATCATTTAAATTAATAACATGAACATATACAAGGACAAAAGAACACATCAAAGTTCTTTGAATCTTTGGTGGTTCCTTACTATACAATACATAGTTTAACAACTGGCCTCTAGAAATCTGCCTGAAAGTTCTAAGTGTGAATTTCAATCTGTATAAATACGTACTAAAGAATACAATATCTCACCTAGGACCAGATAGCTCCATGGCTTGTACAAGCAACAAAGAATCATCTGTGAGATCTGAAAATCTCTCAGACGAAGACAGCTCTTTCGTTTTGTATTTGTTACTGCCGTCAAATTTCTGGGATGCTTCCCACCTCTCTGCAAGTCCATCACCCTCAAGCATTCGAACAATTTCAGACATTTTTGGTCTGTGGCCTGGAAGATATTGAGTGCAGAGCAGAGCAACTTGAACCATTTCCTCTAGCTCAATCCGATCATAGTTGCTTTTCAACTCTTTATCAACCAGGATATCAAGTTTCTTCTCTTGGTGAATTTTCTTAACCTGATACATACAACACAAGGTTATATTGGGGGAATGACATTCTAAAAGAAAAGAAGGAAATGCAATGTTTCGAGCGCGAAACCATAATAGTTTTGACACGTACCAAAAGTCTTCTTAGAATATTTCTATGGCTATAAGAGCATGTCATTAAGGGTAAGAGAAGTTTAAAGTTAACCAGTTTCCAAATACAGAAAAGTGTCATTCTTTTTGGAACAGATTAAAAAGGAAATAGTGTCATATTAAATCGAATGGATGGTTAGATGCTTAATTGAGGCTAGACAAATTGNGTCACTTTAAATGGAATGGAGGGATAGATGCTTATTTGAGGCTTGACAAATGAACACTCACCCAATCAAGCATTGCTCCCTTCTGGTTAGCTGCTTTTCCAAATTCTATAGCTCTCATTCCTGTGATCAGTTCAAGAAGAAGGATTCCAAATCCAAACACATCAGTTTTCTCAGATGATTGGCCTGTTGAAAGGTATTCTGGCGCTATATGCCCCACCGTTCCACGAACAGCGGTTGTGACATGGGTATCCTGGTGATCCAAAAGCTTTGCCAGCCCAAAGTCTCCCACAACCGCCTCACAATAGTCATCGAGCAAGATATTTGCTGCCTTAACATCCCTATGAATTATCTTTGGATCACATTGTTCATGAAGATACAACAGTCCTCGAGCAGCTCCTAGAGCTATTCGCTTCCTTGTTCCCCAGTCCAACACCGGTTTTACTATAGAGAGTAACACGGATTATTTCAGCACAAGACAAATACGAAATCTGAAATGCCACTTGCAATAAATATGTATCGTTACCTCTGAGACGAAAAGCTACACTACCATTAGACATATAGGGGTAAACCAAAAGCTTCTCGTTCGGTGTCATGCAAAATCCGTAGAGCCTGAGGAGGTTACGGTGCACAGCTAAGCTTATCATTTCAACTTCTGTCTGAAATTGTTTCTCGCCACCAATTGCATTGCCATCATTTAGCCTCTTTACAGCCACAGGAGTCCCATCTGGCAGATGACCTTTATAAACTTTTCCAAAACCACCTTTTCCCAAAATGTTTTTGCTGCTGAAGTTGTTGGTTGCAATCTGGAGATCCTTGAATTGAAATCTTCTCAAATTTCCGAGGGAAACTTCTTCATGATGCCGATCTAAAATTTTTAGATAATAGAAATGATGATGAACCTGTGAGCATAACTTTCATAAGGACATTGAGCTGAAGTTCTATAACAAATTGACCAACCTTTGACATCAAAAAAGGCCTGTTGATTATGTCTATGCCTAGACCATAGAAATAGTCCAATTCCAAGAACGAGCAAAGAGATGCAACCAAGGCTTGAGCCAAACACAAGGGCAATTTTATGACTTTTTTGCTTCCCAGAAGGCAGAGCTGAATAACACGGAGCAAACAATGAGAATAAACAGAAGAATGCAAGAACTCTTGAAATTACAGGCTGAAGAAAATGGCTAGATTTGGGGGGAAAATGGCATTCTATATAATGCGTACTTTCTGAACTGTTCAATGTCATTGACATAGGCAGCAGCTGCGTTCCGTAGCAATCTGGCTCAGATCCTGTCGCACAGATCAATGGATTTCCAACAATGCTACAATGATGAACATAAATGATTTCAATATTCCAGCTTTTTATTAAACAAAAATTGATGACATGTAAGTAACTGATCTCTGAATAAAATGTTAATTAGCTTACTCGAATTTCTTAGAAGGAAACCTAGGCACTGGTCCGCTCAAGTTATTATAGGACAAGTCCCTGTATCCAAAAAATTGAATAACAAAATCAATCCAAATTATTGAAGCTATTTACATTACAATAAGAAAAACAATAAAGAGAGATAAGAAAAAGACAAGTAGTAGTAGGGATTTACACAAGAGTGAGCTGTGACATGTTAGTCAATGAGACTGGAATTTCTCCTGATAGACTGTTATTGTTGAGCCTCCTAAAGCAGTTAATAAAAGGAATCCAAGATTAAAAATTCAGGAAGATGAATGAACAACAATGCAAAGTGTCAAAGCATAAAAAATGAAGTTTTCTCTCTTTTCAAGACTTTAGATACTTACATGTACTTGAGGCTATTCAAGTGTCCCAAAGAGGGAGGAATATCACCAGTGAAGAAATTATCTGAAAGATCAAGAGTCTGAAGCTTGAAAAGCTTTCCAACCTCTTTTGGAATTGGTCCTGTTATATTGTTATTTTGCAGCAATCTGTCAAAACATAGTTATTCATCACTTAAAAGTAACATTAAAATAATCAAGAAAGCTCGAAATTACTGATTTTAATACTCACATAATCTGAAGATTAGTTAAATTGCCAATGCTTGGAGAAAGACTACCAGATAGATTTTGGCTGGGAGACCCTCTGCATAAAACACCCTATTAACTTTGAATTATGGAACATAGATATTTTCTCAACCTTTGAATTCCAAAGAAACAGAAAAAGAAAAAACAGAAAGCATTAATCTTTCACTTACAGGCCAATAACAAAACTCTCAGCAGAGCAAGTAACCATAGCCCAACTACATGGATCAACTGAGGTACCATCCCAATTATCAAGAACTCCATGAGGATCTTTCAAAGCAGCTTTTATTGCCATTAAAGCTTGCACTGAACATAATAAGAACAACCCAAGATGAAACTTTTTCATTGTATCAAGTTTTTAAGGCTAAGTATTATACATTCTGCAGAATATTTTTCAATAGGAACACTAATTACCTTCAAAGTTGACACCTTTAGGAGAAAGCAACCCTGTTGCAGTGTTCCAAAGGGCCAAGAATGTCACAAACAAGAATGCAGCATTTAACTCACTTATCCTTTCCATTAAATGTTCAATTCACAGAGAGCAAGAAAGAAACAGAAACTCAATAATCAGGCCTTGTTGAATTAACTGAAGCTATACAGAAAGACAAACCCTGTATTGGATTTTCCTCTAGGGGGGTAATCTAATAGTAATAGTACTAGTCCTTAGATATTGAGAACAAAACTATAGCTTTTGTATACCAGAAAATCATTTTACTACTGTCTTGTCAGTCCTCACAAAAAAGCAGTCTTTGTAAAAAGGAAAACTTAGCATGCCTGTCACTGGGACAGAGCCCCCTTGTAAGGAAATGAATATTTTAATAGCCTAAACTTTAATAAAGCAGAATATTATTACCATTAGGCTAATATTTTTTTAAGTTTGAGATATGGAAATCTACTGCTATCTTAATCAGACACTTTGTCTTGAAATATAGACAGTGAAATGACAAGTTTTTAAGGGCCTCTTCTTTAAACTTAAATCAAAATCATTCTTGTAAAGACAAATAAACGAAAGTATTAGTGAAAAGGGTATGTATAATAAGACCAAATATTTCTCGTGGGTGAGTCATTCACTAGCTAACTTATGGCTTAGAAATTTGTAACTTTTGTCATTATTATGGGAGCTTTATTATGTGGGATAATATTTTTAGAAAAATATAGGGAACAAACATTTGGTATGTGTAAGAGTGCAAGTATTGGCTTATGGGAGTTGGATTTGCAAGGGAATCCAACATTCCCTGAGTTTGGCCATACAACAAAATCCCAAAACTTTATCTTATTTTATAAATTATAGTTTTAATTAACAACCTAAGAATGTGGGAATCTCAAGAAATTTAGGCTCGAGATTGATAATAGTTTTGGTGACCAGTGGCATGGGCCATGGTCCAAAGACCACGCCCATGATAAGGGGCATCTTTGTTGGCCGTCAGATCACTTTTTTATTTCGCGCCAAAAACTATTTACGTTCGATATTCGTAAAAGTATATAAAATTTGTATAATTTTTGTATATAACATACAAAATATATGTATACAAAAAATATATATATTTTTGTCTATTATTTTGAGAGTAACTATACAATGTCAATTTTCCTTTTTTAATTCTTTGCATTTTTACCCACATAACTTTTTTTTTACCTTTTTATCTTTTGGATAATTATGATGTTTGGTCATGTTGTACACACTTTAATTATTCTATCGTTTATTTATCTCTCGCCAACACAGGGAACATAGGCGGCCGAAGGGTAAGGCTGGTGAAGTCATTGCCTCAGCCCCCAATTACTGAAGGCCCCAAAAACTATTATACTCTATTATTATATATAATATATAATTTTAATAATAATTATTTAAAAAATATTTCAAAGTTTAATGAGTATATTTTAATTTGGTTGAGGTTGCATAGATGAGTGAGTCAATAACGGTAATTTATTTTCTCTCATTATCTAGGTATATTTAACTTCATCAATTCTAATTTTTCATCATCTATGTACATTCATTTTCTTTTATGTTTACTAACGCTTGACTTTCTAATTTTGGACTAAGTTTTTTCAAATTAGCTATTTTCTTTTGTCATATTTGATTGTTCCATAGATCAAAAGACTAAGTTCTTTTGTTTTTCATTATTGTGTGAAATTTATCAAATATGTTTAAGAGGCCTCTAATATAATTTGGCTATAAGCCATCAACATCGTCGAGCTGCTTCTGACAGGGATCGAATAAATTTGTTGGTCAAAAAACTTAAATAAAGAAAAAGAAATCACTTAGCAATTTTTATAAACTCTAACATATCATGATTTTTATCCACTTCATTGCCGACTTGGTCTTAGCTTAAAAAATCACCCACTTCAATATATTTGACTACCTTTTGGATCGAGTGTGTGGCCAAGATAGGAATCATGTATGTACTTTAATTGATTCCACCAGCTATTACCACACTATATGTTGTTAAACATGATTTCACACGCTTAGCACTAAGCTTCATGAGATAGTCATTCCAAAGAAACTTATCTAGAAAAAAGTAGTACTACTACTACTATATAAAGCTAAAGCTGCCCATCCTCCATCCTTTCATGCTCCCTTTAACATCATGGGGAGGAATTTCAATTTGTTGTGGGTGGACAATATCATTCCATCTCTCCTTTTCTTGTTTCCCCCTTAATCGTTTCTTTTCATTTAAATAAAAAGTAAACTAATTATGATTGAAAATTAATCTTAATTAGGTGGCCTTTTCCACAGACATAACAAATAAACATAGAGTTGGATAATACTTGTATTTCACATCTTAACTCAAAACGCAACGTTTAAATATTAGAAACAAAGGGAAGTGCACTGGGAGTCTCTACACTTTTCGTGGCATCTGACGTGTTCGTTTTGTATATAGCTGCTTGTACCCATTGCTTCGTTAAATGGACCGTTCCAAGACCAGTCAAAATTTCAGGACTAAAGAGCAAGGAGCAAGGGACACTACCGAGTACTGAGGGTAAAACATAGTTCAATCTTTCTTTCACATTTTTTTTTCTCGCTCAGTGTCTGATACCAGCATTGAAGCCCGACTATATTCGAATTCACACCGCATAGGGCCACATTCGGGAAAGCGCTCCCTAGCAATGATTTTTCCATACCCAAGGTCGAACCTGAGACCTCTGGCTAAGGAAATATGAGTCTCATCCACTGCACCACATTTTTTGATGGTCTTCCTTTCACATTTTATATGAACGTTTAGCTTGAGACGGAGCTAACAAAATAATTTGATTTAGGTATTATATTTGCTGAAGTAAAATAAAATATAAAGTTAACACAAAAATATTGTTTAATAGATAAAATAAATAGATTTGAATTTTGAAAGTTGTGGAATGGTGTCAAATGTTGTTTCGTCCTAGTTAAAGAGAGTCATATATATAGGACACATGGAATATTCAACATCAAAACTCTAAAATAAAAGAAGTAGAAAATTAAATCCTTGTTATAAAATAAAGAATATAAATTAAAGACAAGTATACAGAGAAACTGATATATAATTCAAACTTCAAACTTACGTACATAATGACCTAAAAACTCCTTTATTTATATAGAATAAAGGAAGCTGTTGTGTAAGCTGCTTGTAAACTCCTACTGCAAGCTGCTGTGTAAGCTGCTATTGTAAGCTATTGTGTAAGCTGCTACTGCAAGCTGCTGTGTAAGCTGCTTGTAAGTTGCTTGTAAGCTGCTACTGTACCAGATATAGATAATCTTCTACCGGGAGTAATGTTTATCCATAACGGAGTACCAAAATGATAAGCTTCTTCAGGAGGCTTATTTCCAATAGCGTACTAAATAGATAAACATATTTACGGTAGAGTCTCATATGGATAAACTTCTTCAGGAAGCTTATTTACAATGGAGTACTAAATGAACATCCATAATATAATATATATATATATATAACACTTCCCCTTGGATGTTCATTAAAAGATAATGTGCCTCATTAAAACCTTACTAGGAAAACTCTGTGGGAAAAAAATTCCTAGTGAAGGAAAAAAAGTACATATATTTAGTAATACGCATTGCTAGTTGCCTCATTAAAAACCTTATAAGGAAAACCCTATGAGAAAAAACCTTAGTAAGAAAAAAAAGAGTATATCGCGTATTTTACTCCCCTCATGAAAATTTTGTTTTAAATATTTGAGTCTCCGCATTCCAATCTTGTAAACCATCTTCTCAAAAGTTGAAGTTCGTAAAGATTTAGTGAATAAATCTGCCGGATTGTCACTTGAACAGATTTGTTGCACATCAATGTCACAATTTTTCTGAAGATCGTGTGTGTAGCATAATTTTGGTGAGTTGTGCTTCGTTCTATCTCCTTTTATAAATTCTCCCTTCAATTGGGCTATGCATGCAACATTGTCTTCGTATAAAATTGTGGATCTTTTATCACATTCCAACCCATATTTTTCTTGAGTAAAATGAATCACTGATCTCAACCATACGCATTCCCTACTTGCTTAATGAATAGCTATTATCTCAGCATGATTTGAAGAAGTAACAATAATAGATTGCTTTGTGGAGCGTCATGATATGACAGTACCTCCACATGTAAACACGTACCCGATTTGAGATCGAGCTTTGTGGGGATCAGATAAATAACTTGTATCTGCATAACCAATAAGATCTACACTACCTTTGTTAGCATAAAACAAACTCATATCAAGAGTTGTCTTTAAATATCGCAAAATATGCTTACTCTCATTCCAATATCTCTTTGTAGGAGAAGAGTTATATATTGCTAGTAAATTAACAGAAAATGCTATGTCAGGCTTTGTAGCATTAGCAAGATACACAATTGCACCAATTGCACTGAGATATAGTGTTTCGGGACCAAGGAGTTCCTCTTCCTTTTCTGGAGGTCGGAACGGGTCCTTATTCACTTCAAGTGATTGAACAACTATTGGTGTACTCAATGGGTGCATTTTGTCCATGTAAAAGCATTTTAAGACCCTCTCTGTATAGGCAGGTTGATGGATAAAGATCTCGTCTGCTAAATGTTCAATTTGAAGACCAAGACAAAATTTTGTCTTTCCAAGATCTTTCATTTCAAATTCTTTCTTAAGATATTCAATTGCCTTTTGGAGCTCTTCTGGAGTTCTAACAAGATTTATATCATCAACAAAAATAAAAAATATATCAAATTCGGATGTCATTTTCTTTATAAAAATACATGGACAAATAATATCATTTATGTAACCCTCTTTCAGAAAATATTCACTGGGACAATTATACCACATGCGCCTAGATTGTTTTAAACCGTACAAAGATTTTTGTAATCTGATTGAGTATATTTTCCGAGATTTTGAATATGCTTCATGCATTTAAAATCCTTCAGGGATTTTATGTAAATTTCACTATCAAGTGACCCCGTACAGATAAGCTGTAACCACATCCATTAGATGTATTTCAAGCCTTTCACGTAAGGCTAAACTGATGAGATTTCGAAATGTTATGGCATCCATAACGGGTGAATATATTTCTTCATAATCGACTCTAGATCGTTGTGAGAATTCTTGTGCGACAAGGCGAGCCTTGTATCTTTCAACTTTATTTTTTTCATTCCTTTTTCGCATAAAAAGCCATTTATGACCAACTGTTTTTATACTAGCAGGTGTTTGGACTACTGGTCTAAAGACCTCTCTTTTAACAAGTGCGTTCAATTCTGATTGAATTGCCTCTTGCCATTTTAGCCAATCAGATCTTTGTTGACATTCTTCGACAAATCGGGGTTCAAAATCCTCACTATCTTCCATAATGTTA